AACTCCAGAATGAAAAATTGACTGCCTCTGGATTATGAAATATTAAAGCTTTTTTGTCTTCGTTAGATAAACACGCTTCACATTTTTTCATGGAGGGATGATGAGTGTATATGGCAAATAAGAAAGTTATTAACTACGTACTACATCTAGTGTCTAATTATATATTGTAGTACTCCTCAAAGTCCCAATTTATAAAATGAAGCTGGCATGTACATTTCAATCTTTCTGATGTTCTCCATTATCTTTATGCGTATAGTCAGCTCTTCCACCTGACCAGCTGGCTTGGTGTGGAATGGACAGTGTCTTACTATACTGGGATGATATGCTATTGATGGTAGGTCCTTATGGTGATCCTGTGCGCTACATATACGATGAGCCCATCATTCTTATCCCTGAGTGTGATGGAGTAAGGATACTGTCTAACACAAGCATGGAATTTCTACATCGAGTCCCAGACTCCACAGTATCTATCTTTCAGATTGGGAGCACCCTTCCTGCTGCTTTGTTATATGATGCCCTGGATCACTTTGACCGGCGGAGTGCCAAGGTAGTCTACCTCTATTATCTTAATGCATCTCGGAATTATATCCTGATGAAGTCTTTCTCATCCTCGTACTTGCCTTTAGGATGTAAATATTTCAACATTTGTTAATAGACTTCAAGAGTACACTCTACTTTCTATGTTCACCTTAATGTCTTCTTCATGCATACACCTTGCAGTATACTATTCCTCATTGTTGGCGGGCTGCTAAAATTTCATGAAAGTTCCTTTGCTACCAATTTTTTGCACTGAGAAATGTTTTGATATGACTTCTGTGTTGTTGACTTCACCACCATGATCACTAGCTGCTCCCCTTACCGCACCTTCGCCATTTATCTGGGAATGCTGTTTTTACCTCCAGCCATTAATGGTGGTATTTCCAAATTCCTACCATCAACAACCCAGCATTGGGCATTCAAAATAAGTTTTCTTCATTATGTAAGGAGGAGGCATGTCAAGCTGTATCATTTTCCTTAGGAAGTGTTGGCCTTAAGATTTTCAGTAGCTACATGTGACTGGACTCGTGGAATAATAAGGATGAATCTCCCATTACTCGCTTCAAATGTTCTTAGTTATGGTGGACTGCATTAGAATGATCAGCCTAAATTTTAGTAGGGAAAATAAATTACAGTAATCGCATTAAATATGGATTGTGAACTTACCTTAATAGGTGTAATTATTATTATTATTATTATTTTTCTTTTTTTATCATCATTGAGGAATTGAGGAAATCTATTGTGCACCAGGCAGATGAAAATTTGAGATTGATTCGCTCTTCGCTATCCGAGGCTGTTGAGGCTTGTATTGATGCTGCTGGTTATGAATTTGATATTTCACAGCAGCGGACACTACTGAGAGCTGCGAGCTATGGACAAGCCTTTTGCAGGTAGGTTTGTTGGAGTCTTACTGTTGTTTAAATTTTTATGTATTCAAATGAAACTCTGTGTCCTGTGCTCTGGATGAAGTTTCTGTACTTTCTTTCTAAGCTGCTGGATATAAAATATATTTTACGAGTTTGAAACATTAACTTTTGATTCTACTGTACCAGGTTGAATTGGGTCTCAATTGGAAAAAGATTTGAAAAGTATTTCGAGTTTTCATAATCTCTGTGGGAGCATTTTTCTTTGAGGTTCATCAAATATACTTTTGCTCGTTGAGTGGAATTTTGATCAACTCATTGCTAGAATATCTGTTGATGTGCAGTGAAAGAATTATTTTATACACC